TTGCAAACGACACGCGAGCCCCACGGTTTCCGGTACGAGCGTTCCCTTCCCTCCTCTCTTTTCGTTCGAACGAGACGAGAAGCGGCGACCGGCGCTCGAGGAAGGCGAAACGAAGAAGAAGAAGCCTTTTCCGCGAATCCCAGCCGGTTCTTCGACCTTACGAACATCGATCTTCCTCTGTGGATCCCGGGATTCGAGGAACGGACGTGCGCCGCGCGTTTCGTATTTACACCGAAGGCGTTTCGCGAGGACAAGAACCGGACGAACCGTGGCTCGGTCACGCGATCGCGACGAAGTGCAACTGTAAATGATTCATCGGTTCCGGGATCGGTCGGGTAATGGGTCGTATTACTTTAATTAAGGGAATTTTTATGATCACACCGCGGACTCGTATGTTTTTGCGGGAAATTTGGTAGAGAAGTGCACGGATTGCACGTAACGCGAAAAGGTGTGCAAGTAAAAAGTATCTTTCACCGGAGAAAGGAAATTTCTTAATTATGATCGATACAACTACTTTATCGGTAATAATGTATTTGAGAAAGAAGCAATTTTTGTGCTTATTCTATGTCTACGTTTACTTCAGAGGTTAATGATTGATAATAAAAATATAGATAATAGAATATACACAACAGAAATAATAATATTCAATTTACAATTTAAAAAAGATCATTAACACTTAGATTTGTCGAACTCAGTTTCAAATTGTCACGAGTCGAGCACGATATTGTAGATCAAGAGGTAATCTCTTTCGAACTAGAAAACATTATCTAATAGTACAAATTCAATATAATCTTGTACCAAAAGTTTACGTTCAGCTTTCCTAATGTCCGAAATTCCGAACTCCGCAAAGTAATTCCAATACACTCGCTGGATTACCATTCAAGCGCCTTCGCATTTGCCGTATTATACGTAACACGCATAAACACCGATCCACTGTCCCATCAAAATAATTTATACACCGCGTTCCATCTCACAGTCCCTCCCCCCTTTGAAAAACACGATGCCCGACTGTTTTTCCTTCGTTCGCCGCGCGGTTCCAGTAAAGATGGCGTTCGACCGAGCTGCGCTATTCGAGTGTACACCGAGAAAGAGTCGAAGGTCCACGGAACTCGGCTGTTTTGCCCTCGGAAGGGTTTCAGCGCTGAAAAAGCCGAAACGAACCGCGCGGAAGCGTGAACAAGAAGACGGTCGACGGTCGACGGTCGACGACCTCCGATGACGGTTTTTTAGGCGAACCGTCGATACTTCCGCCGCGAAACAGTCGGTCGGTTATTTTCTTCGCTTCTTCGCTCGGTCGCTCGCACGCTGGATATTCGCGTGCGGCTAATTGCCAGCCCCCCTTCCTCAGATTCTCTCATTTCGTAGCCGCGGGAAGCGTCTTGTATCATCCGCGAAGGGAACAACGCCTCGATCACGCCTGGGAAAGGGTTGTCAACCTTAAATGTCCCCGGCCTCCTGTGTGCCGATCACGGCTAACTTAATTACAGGAGATTCCCTTCTTGATCAGATGATACCCGACCGCTGCTTCGTAAATACTGGTATTTATCTTGTTCGGACTTTTTCTTTTAACGCGAGACGAGCTTCTTCAGCCGCTTAGTGCCTGCTTTACTTTTTTTCGATGCTTCGCGAGGAGATTGGTCTGTCGTTGCCCTCTACTACGGGTGGGAGTTTTCGCGTGGGAGAACATCGTTTTCCGATTAATGGAGATTATTGAGCTTCAGAAAGGATAATTCGGATAATTAAGAAACTTCAGGGATGTTTGGCACCTTGTAAAACATTGCGAAACGTAATTATCTATGTGTACAAATATTACTTGAAGTACTGTCTGCTTTTATGAATACTTTCGTTGTTATAATACGAGAGTTATTAATGATAGGTTTGGAATTTTTCTAGAATACTATTAGAATAGATGGAACGAACGTTGGAGCAACTGTCTTTTGTTAGTCACCTACCGACGCGACAGTCCCGTACTACCGTGCGTTGAAATCTCCGACGCAATAGTCTCGAGTTGCCGGGCATTGAAATCTTCGGCGCGACTGCCGCGCATTACCATGCATTGAAGTCTCCGACGCAACAGTCACATACCGAGCATTGAAATCTCCAGCGCAACTCGCGGATAAAATACTTCCGCTCTATCAGTTTCAACGATTGGAACAGTGAATATACATTTTCGTTCGTAAAATATTTTACCGTACAATGACGAAGATCTTTGTGGAAGTCGACTCATAGAAAATTCCGATATCCGCTGATAAATTGAGACAACACGATCCCCCTCGACCGAGGAAAAGCCAGGAGGAAGTGTCTTTCACTTGTCGGAGAGTGGCAGCGCTCAATCAAAAGCTCGCCAAGCAAATTGTCGTCGTTAGTGCCGATCGAATTTGATTGCATCCATCCTCTAAAGGCAATCGATCGCCATATTCGGCGTGTAACGAGATCCTTCTCTAAATCACAGCTGCCGTAACCCGATCCTTTATTAGCTAGTCGATCTAGACACGCACGGAACTAGTTCCTGTATATATATATTATTAAAGGATCGAAACGACTCTGCCGAGTCTCGATTCCGTCCCGACAGACGGCGAAGACGCCGCTGAACAGTCAAGTTCATGACTCTCCCATCATTGTCTCTCTTCCCCGTTGACGATAATGCTAAACGCGGCGGCGCGATCATTGTCATTTGGTTGCGGCTCGTCTGAACGTGCCGGCGCGGCGGCCGTTAAGCGCGCGAATTAATTGCACGCGAGCGAAACGAAACGGCGGAATCCCAGCTCCTAATTCGCGGCCGCCACGCTGACAATTAACGCGCGCATCTGTTTCATAATCGGCCGCGCCTCGCCGCCACAGAAATCTCAAACAGGATTTTAACGATGATCCGCGAGAGCTATGGGACGCTTCGTCCATGAAATCGTTGGCGATTATTTTTCCCTGCCCATAGACTTTGCGTGTTGCTAATCATTTCTGACTGAGGAGCTATGAAAGCTTTGTTTAAGACCTTTTTACTTTTTTACTTGTTTCCAAGATGTAGAAGGTTTCTTACTGACATTCTTACTACTTCCGCCTTCTTGTTACTTTCTTATTTAAAAATTCGTGATCGAAGATGCATGGGAGTTTGGTTCATAAATTTTCCTACGAATTTAAATGCGGTGAAAGCTTTCGAAAGTCTGAGAGATCTTCAAAATCTAATTACAAAATCTATAAAATCATGATCCTTTGTCACTCAAATTTAATCACCGCGATCGAACTATGCAACAATTCTCAGCGGTGCCTCGTTAGAAAAAATTCAGTTCAGATCTCTCTAAGCTTTCTTGCGCGCGCCTTAACGGTCGTTTCGCGGGCAGAAGTCCCCCGTGTAAAATCACGAAATCCTTGATCGGCGTTTTTGCATGATCCGGGTTAAAACAGGCCCATGATGAACACGCACGATTACGTGTCGATCCGCGGTCACAGTTCGTTGAATGCTCCGTGATAGATCGACGATAGGAGAGGACCGAAAAAACCAGTGTAATCATGAAGACCAAGAGAACTAGAGAGAAAGACACACGGGAAGAGAAAGAGAAAAAAAAGAAATCGACCTGAATCATTTGAAGCGCATTTGTCGGTAACTGTATTTTTACGGGATCAGTTGTAAAAAGGAGAAAACTGTACCGTTCCCGATCGTCCCGCGAGAAAATCCCGCAATTCGATTGTACATTCGGTGACCTGGCACCAATTAGCGGCGCAGGTGCGTTCACCCTGAACGAACGACGCCCACGTGGAATTTAATCCTTTCATTATGGATGGTGATGATGGCAATGGTGGTGATGATGATGATGATGATGATGATGATGACGACGATGATGATAATGACGATACTGTTACGCATGCAACCGTTCTTCATTGAGAAAAAAATGATTCCTTTTGCACCGTACTACCGACTTCCCATAACGAACTGGAATAATCGCAGCCCCGGTGTTTCTCTTATTCGGTAATCAACGTTAATGTTCTTTAGCAGGGTTTTAAAACGGTTTTTACACCTTTACGATCTTACTTATGCAATTTTTCTATCGTACTGCTTTTATTGCTGTTCTGGATGCTCGTTTCGAAATGACTTGGCGCGAGCTATAGATTCGAGACGTTGAATATGCTTCGCGATTGTCGTTGATTTTATTTTCTATTGTTTCATCGTTTGTAGGATTCTCACTGGATCGATGAGAAGTAGATCATTGAAAACGGAGTGAAATCGTGAAGATATGATTTTTATGATGTACTCTGGAGAATATCATGTAGAGGGGCAATAAATCTTTTTCTTTAATGAAAGGAAATGATGTTCGGTATAATGTCGGGTTATTAAGCTCTGCGCAAGTAGTGGATCGCGTCGTTAATGGATACAGTTTCATGATTCGATAAGAATTGGTCGCGATCGTACAGTGTATGTCGTTCGATCGTACGAATTCGAGTGCGAAGCATCATAATCGACCGACGAAAAGGTACCGTTACGTCATTCACACTCGCCGGCGATTTCGTGTCCCAACGCGACCGAACTTCATCAAAGGATTTACAGTTAGCCGTAACCGTCGCGTCTTCGATGTGTCGATTGATAAGTCATCGACGCTTCGGTTCGCGCGAAACGTGTCTGGTTAATGGATCGAGGTGCGGTTGAAATTCCTGTTCTAAATTCTTGCCAATCGCTTCTTCGAGATTCCAGATTCCTACGTTCTCGTTTTTCACTCGATCTAGAACTATTCCCCCTATGCTATTAGGAGGATTATTCCTCGATATCATTGAATAATATCATTCAACGTAGGACAACTATTTTCCCTTGCATTTAATTCAAGATCATGTCTCGGAAAATTATCTTTCTCTAAGCTTCAACGTACGTTTCTTAAGTCCTTAAATTTTAAAGTTGAACTTCGGTTAATCCGGTCGATCGACCGAATTTAATTTATTTAATTTAGTTCGAGAGAAACGTGCCCCTCGTGTTCCGTAATACGGTATTTTAAAATGTTCGTTATTTAATTTTACAGCGACCGCGGCAATAGCGAGCACCGTGCAAATCGAGTGCGCCAGCGAGTCGATAATCGTGCACATCTCGACCGAGGGAAACACGGACTTCCATGGCCTGGTGTATCCACGAGGTCTGTCCAAGAACAGCTCCTGCCTGCAGGAGTACAGAAGCCAGCCCACCCCTATAACTTACAACCTGCCCTTGAGATCTTGTAACACCATGCCCACCGAGCTGGTAAGTGCCCCAAGAATTACAAAAGATTTTACACTTCCGGCGAACTGTTACAACCCAGCAATCTGCAAATGGCCCGAGCGTATAACGCGTTCCGTCACGATGTGGATCAGCAAAAATCATTTCAGAGCGCGGCGACTTTGAACTTGATCTTTAGCTACTTTTCAAGAGGAAACTAATATTCTTCGTAGTTTGGTACTTAAGAATTTGAGAATTTCAATGTTTGAATATTTGAAAATTTGAGAATTTGATAATTTGATAATTTGAATGTTTGAGTATTTGAAAATTTGATAATTTGATAATTTGATAATTTGATAATTTGATAATTTGATAATTTGATGATTTGATGATTTGATGATTCGATAATTCAATAATTTGATAATTTGATAATTTGATAATTTGATAATTTGATAATTTGATAGTTTGATAGTTTGAACATATGAATATTTACATATTTGAACATTTGAATATTTGAATATTTGAATATTTGAATATTTGAATATTTGAATATTTGAGTATTTGAACATTTGTGTATTGGAAAATTTGAGTATTTGAACATTTGTGTATTGGAAAATTTGAATACTTGGATACTTGAAAATTAAAAAAATTTGGTATCTGAAAATCGTATCTCTCAACGACGGTTATATCACCGAGATTCAGAAAGAGACGCTTCAAGGTAGAACGTCGTTAGCTGCAAGGCTGGTTCTCCGCGAAAAATCGAAAGTGACTACGAAAACAAGACGTCCAGTTGCATCATCATTGCCACTGAGCAGCAGTTTCTTTATCGTTAGCAACGGTCTCTCTTCCCATAGACTCTATAAAACAGTATTTAGTTCTTCGCGCAAAAACGTATCACTCGAGTATTCAGAAGAAGAAGTTCAAGATGCTGCCCGGTCGAGTATCATCGTTCCTCGCGGGTAAGATTAAACTAACAGGATCCAGAAAGAAGCCCCCGAGCACCTTCTCCGAAAGCAGCCGGGTAAGAGTGATTATCGGGGGCCGAGAGCAAGAAGTTGCTCGCGAGGCAATGACATCACACGCAGTTACACAAGCTTCCCGAGTAGGAGAGGCGTAATGGAAGCAGGTCCGTGGAGATATCGCAAGTACATAGAGGAAGAGAGCTCTCGATCGACGATCGGTCATGCGACTGGACGTGTGTTGCACGCGTGTGCAACCAGCGTTTTTTGCTCAAGGGGGAGAAACAACGGAAACAAAAGGAAATATTCAGTCGTGTAATAAGGAATGCCGCATTATTCAGAGAGAAAGAAAGACGAAGAGAACAGAACATCTTCCTTTCTCCATTCCACTAGAAATTAAGTACTATTTTTCTAGTACCAACTAACCAACATCGGTTGCTAATCTTCAAACAACCACGGAATACTTCCTTTTCCAATGAATCATTCAATATCAAGCAGATATTCGAAGCTAATGACAGAACATATCTTAATTAAAGGGCAAAATTCTTTAATTTCAACATTCCATAAATTATACACTTAATTATATAAACTTCGCAATTTTCCTATATCAAATCCAATCACTTCTCCAGTGCAAAGAGTTAATCGCGCGTCTATCTCGAACGATCGATTCGCGATCGATGAAAAATCGTTTAGAAGTCGACGTTTCGCGTTACGGGATCCAATGAGACTAGAGAAGAAAGAAAAAGAAACGCACTGACGGCGAAGGCGTGAGCACGCGATAGACAGGACGAAAGAGGAGACAGCCGAGGGGAGAAGACTTAAGGGAGAAGATGAAAGAGAGGGAAAGAGAGATAAGCCGACGGAGGAGGGCAGGTTCGTGTGTAACGAGGGAATCGTGTGTTCGAGGCGAGAGATCGCTTCCTCGCCATACCATAACTGGACCGTTATGTGACCGGACTTACGGCCTTCTTCTTACGAGCGTTACGAGAGAGACGTGTGCTGCTCGCTCGCTGCCGGCCGAGCCAACGCTACGCTTCATGTCAGCGTGGATACGTGCACACCGGCCGCCATGCAAACGCGTGCTCCCCTGTCCTTAACGGACCGCTGCGCTGGTTCCTCCTGTTCGACGATAATGAACCGCACGCCGCTCGATCACGATTTCGCCGGGAAAAGTTCGGTAAACGCCCGTGCTCCAACCATATTCGAATCAGAGAGACGAGTTTCGAATTTACCCGTTTGAGTACCGGAGGTTTTCCAAAAAAACACGAAAAAACGCAATGGCGCTTTCTGAATGGGATGCGAAAAGATCCAAGCGGCGCGATGGCGCTTCTCTTATTTCATGTCGAGAAGAGCCAAGCAGCGCGACAGTTATAATATTAAATATTTTAATGAATCTTAAAGAAACTACCCTAAAATTATTCGATTTCCCACACATCCAAATTTTGTACTAAGAAGGAAAATAAAAGATCGAAGAAATGTTATAGCATTCCTCATTTTCGTTAGGAATACTATAAAAATTAGTTGCAGTTGCTGATAGATTACAAAACAACCTGGAATGCTAAGGGTTAACTCATCGACTGCCATGAGAATTTGTAGCGTTTTGAATAGTAATACTTATTCTTTAGTAACAAACGCAAATGATATTGAAAATAATTATTCTTAAGACTTGAGTCAGGAGTTAAGGGAATACTGACGTTCGAAACAATCAATTTTATAGGTATACCTCACTCGAATGTATAGTTTTGAAAAGATTATTATAGATGTGACCGCGCACCAGGTAACTGGTTAAATGATACGTTAGATGTACAATTAGATCGAATTCTTCTGCTTCTAATTTCACGGAATTAATCAATTTACCGAATGCATCGATATTCCACGTGAAACGTTACGACTAAGCGGTCCATCCGCTGCGAACGCTCCGCCTAAACGATCAACGATAAAACAATCCCGCTGAACACGAGCGCAAAAGAAATCCCTAGGAAATGGATACCCGACTCCGAGTCCATTGTATTTCCTGCAAGATCCGCGCGAGATACGGGGACGGGAAAAAAGTGGATTCCGGAATAAGCGGACCAGTTCCCGCCGGAATCGCATGGAAGATATCCGATCCACGCGGACAGCCGACAGGCGAACGGTTCAGCTTTGTGGCTGCATAATTTGATCCTACGATGACTACACGCATTCCTTCGAAGAATAGATTAAATATATAATAGAAAATAATTTATTTCGAACGGTAGGTCCCAAAAAAGCCGATTAACGCGCTGGCTATCATAGGCTTCACTCGTGGTACCCTCAGAAAAACTATCTAGTCTGATAACATGTCTTATAACCATAAAATTTAATCAGAAAAACGTTGATTATTGAGGAAATGCGTGGATAGTGTCCACGGGAAGAAAAAGGTAGCCAACATACTGAATATCACGTTACCAAGGATGATTCGCTGATTCAGTACAGTTTTTGCCGTCGCTATTGGAAGATTGAAAAATGTTCAGTTATCGCTCATTAATCTCTAACGAACTGTTGAATAGTCATTGACAGCTGTTGCGCCGATAAGTACACTTAACGCACGGTTAATAAGAAGACACCGTACACGAAATAATAGCCGTGCACAGCTACTTCCACTTCTGTTCCGTACAGATTGCTTCTGCATTGAACTCTCTCCGTACGGGAAGGGTTAAGGGCCAGCTACGCCGATGGGAACAATTTGTCCCGGGGCAAGAGGAAGAAAACGTAGCTCGGGACAAGGTTGAGGAAGGTGAAGCCGGGATAGGAGAGTCTTTGACCTCCGCGATTTCTTCGAGATCGTTGGTGGGCGTCCGAGGGACTGTGGGCAGTCCGTCCGGCAAATGCACGGACACGTATAGACGTGTACACTCGTAGATATCCCGGACTCTAAGGTCCGGCGTGCGCGCGAGCGAGTAAGCGAGCGAGCGTTCTTATATACGCGAATCATAAATTAAACAGCCTCACGGCGCTGTCGGTACTTTCGTCGGTCGTACGATGCACCTTTGGCGATGCAGAGGATCCTCGGCGTCTTGGGCCACCGTCGCGCGGTGTCCATGATCATTATAATATACAATGGGGGATGAGTCATGCGGCTGAGATGGGGATATCTTACTTCTGACGCCAGGGAACGGTTTTTGCTTTCAGGAAAATCGAGAGGAGCGTTTTGCGCTGGTCGCTGGGAAGATGGGGTGTGTGGTCTTCGCCGAGCTCTTTGGTTCGAGCACATAGGTGTTGCTTGGGGTTTGATCTTTGAATCGTGGCAGTTTCAGCGATGGAATTTTGATTAATGGAATCTTCGGTAGTGGAATGCTCAGTAATGGAACTTTGAACGATGGTATTTTCAGTGATGGAATTTTGATTGATGGATTTTTAGCGGTGGAATGTTTGATAATGGAACTCTGAACTACGGTATTTTTAGTCAGAGAATTTTGATTAATGGAATCTTTAATCATGGACGGTTTAGTGATTGACAATTTTTGAAGTCTATTTGGAATAATTCTAACACTATTCGGATGCGATCCAAAAAATATTTAGGAACATTTCACAACACTGTTTCTATATGCAACTCGAAACGCGCGTGTCCATAACGCGCGCAGTCGAAAGCAGAATTCCGGCACTACGAACGGCCACTCGACCATCGGTGCGCAAACTAAAACCACCGCGCACCCCCAGAAACATTCCGGCAATTTCCCTATCCCGACCGCGTCTATGGACAAAGAGGAACGAGGATAACGCGGCCGGCAATAATGAAAACATAAATTAACCGCGCGTTTCAGCCATTCGATACGCATAAAGTTCCGAACGGCGCCAATTAAAATCGTTATAGGTTCATTAAATCGAATTACACAGATTTCCCGTAATTTACATGAATCAAGGTTCAAGCCACGAGCGAACACGCGCGCGATAAATAATATTCGCCCGTCGATTAATATCACTCCGATCGAACCGAGTTATGTAGCAGATTGAATCGAGCGCATCTGCATAACCGATCTATTCCGACCGCGGTATCGATGGCACGCGGATATATGTTTCTTACGCGTGCATACGGACGCAGGTAAGTAAGTAAGTACTTACTATACG